GCTCTTGCAGAGAACCCAGGTTCAGTTCCCAGCACCCACATGGCAGCTAACTTCAGTTCCAGGGAATCCGAAGCCCTCTTCTAGACCACAGGTGCACTTGCACACATGCAAGCAATACACTCATACACATAAAATAAAATAAAAATGGTAAACAAATTTTTAAAAAAAGAAAAAGGAAAACTCTCTGGAAAGAAGTCTGACAATCCAATCTATATAATGCATAATATTAACTATGTACCAGATACTATGCTTACTGCTGTACTTAAAGTGTCTCACTTCATTTAAAAGAATAACACAGGGGCTGGGTTGTAGTTCGTTAGTAAAATGCTTATCTAGCACACAAGAGGCCCTGGGTTCAATTCCTAGCACTACAAATGAAAAACAGAACGAAGGAAGGGAGGGAGGGAGGGAAGAGGAGGAAAAAGAAGAAAAATAAGGAAAGAAATGAAAAAGAAAAAATAAGAGGTGGAAGGAATTTCGGTGACAGAGATGGTAATAACTGGAATTCTGGATTAAATAAGTAATTCTCCTGGAACAATCAATTTCACCAATATTACCTCTTATTACTTACTATATATTTTAGAAACAGAAGTTTCAAAATTTTGAGGTTTCTTACAAAGGTAAACAGTAAACCATTTGTTCTCTTAAATTTCCTTAATTCTAAACAAGACAAACAAACCCTTACCTGTACAACTTGTTTCTGTGCTTGTGTTGCGTGTATTGTTGGAATCTGTGGTTTTTCCCGAGCACCTCGGCAACGATCATTGCTCACTGAAGTCATCATACACAGTATATACAAAATAATGTATGTACAAAATACAAAATCTGCAAGAAAAAAGGCATTGTAAGCAAAACTTCCCAATCATGGTAAAAGACAATCATCTATTTCAAAGGAAAAAAGGACACATTAAAAGTTCTTCAGAGTATAAATTTTCAAAAAAAGGCCATTAACATTCTAAATTTTGGTTATATCATTTATTTTTGTAGGAAAAGGTTAAACCCAGGCCTTTTATATACTAAATACACAATCTCCAAGTAGCTACACCCTCCGCTACTGGTGGCTTTTAAACTAATTTTACTTATGCAATCTAAAATTTCATGTTTGGGACCAGAAAGATGGCTCAGCTGGCAAAGGCCTGAACTATACAGTGATGCTGTCTCAAAGCAGAGACATAATTGGCCACAGAGGAGAGACAGACAGAATATAGGGTTTAAGGCCAGAATGTGGCTCATTTTAAGGCCAGAATGTGGCTCATTGGTAGAGTACACTTGTCAGGTCCTGGATTTAGTTACCCAGGTTCACTTCCCAGCACCTACATCACAGCTGATAGTAAGTTAACACCAACTCCAGGGGCATCCAAAGCCCTCTTCTGACCTCTGTAGGTACCAAAGGCATGTGGCGCACTTACATAAATGCAGGAAAAACACTCATACGCATAAAAATAAATAAAATGCTTTTAAAAATTAGCTGAGTGTGGTGGTGTATGCCTTTAAATCCCTTCAGTTGGGAGACAGAGGCAGGCAGATCTCTGTGAGTTCCAGGCCAATCTGGTCTACATAGACAGTCAGGGCTACATAACACTGTTCAATAGATAATAACGGAAATCTCAAAGGAAGCATTCAGTCATGGAACAATGTTCCTCTCATTTTAAAACATTTCAGTTTAATGAAACAGCATCATACCAAATACTTTAAGCTATCTTTTTAGATCTGAAAGTCATAAATTAAAAGAGACTAGCTATAATTCACTATACTACTTCAGATACTACTAAAATTATGTCCCTGAAACTTAAAAAAGTGGATTTTTTTGGTACTAGGCATCCTAATATTTACTTTCTCAATAGGTCTTGTATTAACCAGATTTTCATAGGCCTCTTTAGGCCTCTGACCTAAGGCATATTATTGCATTGCCTTTTACATTATATCAGCAAATAGCCAATTAACTAGAACATCTCAAAAAAGATAGCCAAAAGATAGATTAAAACATTTTATCTTACTTCCAGCTGCCGCTCAAACAGCCTAAATCACATTTTGCATCTTATTTTGACTTTACCAGCTTTCAGATTTTGTTTAGGTTGTTTGGGTATTATTATATGGAATATGTTCAATTGTTTTGCCATAGTTATATTACTTTTAGCCCTTTCTCTTGTTATGTATGATTTGGAAGGTGGGTAGATATGTATATGAATGTGGGAGCACATGCCACAGCACATTTGTGGACGTCAGGTCAACTTTGGGAGTAGCTTTTCTCTTTCCAGAGTAAAATACAGGAATTGAACTCAGGTCTCAGGCTTTTGTGGCAAGTGCTTTTACTCTGAGACATCTGGCTAGCCTTTTTTGCTGACTTTAAATATCTCAAATGAATAAGAAAAGCGAATAAACTTTTTTGAAACCATGGAGCATTATAAAAATATGCAGCATATTTGTATTTCTTTTTGTTTTGAGACAGAGACTCAATATGCTACCCTGGCTATCCTAGAACTTGCTATGCAGACCAGGATGGCTTCAAGCTCAGAGAGCTGCCTGCCTGAGATTAAAGGTTTGCATATTGTGAAATGAAGAGATCCACTTATTTTTATTTATTTAGGCAGTACTTAGGATTGAAAGAGGGCCTCATACATTCCAGGCAAGCTGGGGGTACAGGGGAGACCATGTCTCAAAAAAAGAAAAAGCTGTTGTGGGTTTTTTTGAAACAGGTTCTCCCTACCTATAGGCCCAGCTGGCCTGGAACTCACTACGTAGACCAAACTGGCCTTGAATTCACAGAGATCTGCCTACCTCCCAAAGTGCTGGGATTAATGTGTGTGCCACCATGCCGGTCCCTCTGCTTAGTATTTTTTTTTCTTTTTGGTCTTTTTGAGACAGAGTATCCCTGTAGCCCTAGCTGGCCTGGAACTGACTACATGGAGCAGCTGGCTAGCCTCCATCTCACAAAGATCCACCTGCCTCTGCCACCACTCCCAGGCCTGTACTTATTTATACAATCAACTTCATAACTAATTCCTATATCTTGTTTAGTTTCCTTGTTTTTGTTTTGGTTTGGCTTTTTTGAGACAGGCTTTCCCTGTATCCCCAGCTGGCTTGGAACTAATTATATAAACCAGGATCTCACACAGATCTTTCTGCCTGCCTCTATCTCCCATTAAAGGCATGTGCTATCATGCTAGGCAGTTTCATTGTTTTCTTAAGACAAGGTCTCACAATGTAGCCTAGGCTAGAGCCAAACTCAAGATTTTCCTACTTCAGCCTCCTGAGTGCTATGCACCACCACATCTGACATTCTGTAAATTTATCTTTAAGCATCCAGGGCTGGTGAAATGGCTCACTAGATAAAGGCACTTTGTACCAAGCTCAACAACCTGAGTTTGATCCCTGGGACCCATGTGGTAGGTAAACACTGACTCCTACAGGTTTTCCTCTGACCTCCACATGAGTACCATGGCACATGCACGCCCACACACATACACATACATCCACAAAATAAAGCATAATTTTTAAAAAAAATTAACTAAGCATCTAGGGTGATGAAGATGGCTCAGTAGGTAAAGTGCTTGCCATGGTGACACAAACCTATAATCCCAGCACTGGGATAGAGAGAAATAGGAAGATCCCTGGATGCTTGCAGGCCAGGTAGTCTAGCCAAGTCTGTGAGAGAGACTCTGTCTCATAAAATAAGGTTGAAAGTGACCAAGGAATACCTCCAACACTGACCTCTGGCCCCCACATGCATAAACATGGCACATACCCCCACACAAAATTAGGCATCCATTCAAAAGTGGTTGAATGGTGCTCCTAAAGTGCAACCCAAACAAAAAAGAAAATAATAGTTTGCTTACCGATTCCAAACACTTGAGTTTTGTTCACTGAACTGATTGTCCTACTTTTCAATTGTTTACTCCTCGGCGCTCCCATTTGTGAAAATACTTGGTAAGTACACTCAATATAATGAAGTGAGAGTCTTAGAGGAGAGCCATCTAGTTTTAAAACTCTGCATGTACAGAAAGTACATACTTAAACCAAATTGCATAAAATTTTTGACTTACAAGAGGCTTAACTTGGGGGCTAGAAAAATGGCTCAGGGGTTAAGAGCACTGACTGCTCTTGCAGAGGACCCAGGTTCTGTTCCTAGTACTCACATAGTGGCTAACAACCATCCATAACTCCAGTCCCAGGGAATCCGACACCCTTTTCTAACCTCAATAGACATTGTTCAACACACCTACACTTACATATATGCAGGCAATACATTCATACAAATAAAAAAGTAAAAATAGTATTTTTTATAAGAGGGTTAACTTTTATAGACTCTAGTACAACCAAACATTTTCTTTCATGTTATGTACCTGATTTTTCAGTTCTCAAATACGAAAAACTATAAATTTTATGATATCTCAAGATACTGAAATTTTGGGGACTGACAAGATGGCAAAGCACTTACCACTAAGACTGACAACCTGAGTTCAATCCCTGAGACCCAAATGGTGGAGAGACCCAACACCCACAAAATAAATGTGTGTGTTTTTTAAGTTAAATTTTCAGCTAAAGATGTAGCTCAGTTGGCAGAGCTTCCCTAGCATGCTACGAAGCCCTGAGTTCCATCCCCGCATAAACACACACCTGGAATTCCAGCACCCAGGAAGTAGAGGTAATTACCTCCTGGTAATCCTCAGCTACATAAAGAGTTTCAGGTCTGCCTGGGAAACAGGAGACTCATATCAAAACAAAGAATGGTTGGTGGGGCTCATGCCTTTAATCCCAGCACTCCTGAGGCAGAGGCAGGCAAATCTCTGTATGTTCAAGGTCTACATAGTGAGGGCCAGGCTAACCCAGGCTACAGGGAAACCCTGTCTCAAAAAGACTAAAATCAAATAAAAACAACAAAAAGAGGTCTATGAGATGGTTCAGTGGGTTAGCAACCTGAGTTCAATCCCCAGGACCCACATAAAAGTGAAAGAAGAAAAAACACATCCATAAAGTTGTCCTCTGGCCTTCACATTCAAGTCATGGCACAGGCCTCCATCCCCATAATAATAAAATAAAAATTTAAATTAAAAAAAAAATCAAGTGAAGAGATGGCTTGGTGGGTTTCTGTAAGTTCAAGGCCAGCCTGGTATACATATTGAGTTCCAGATCAGATGGGGCTACAGGGAGATACTATCTCAAAAAAGACCAAAAAAAAAAGTTGGGGGTCTTGGCTGGAGAGTTGGCTCAGTGGTTAAGAGCACCGGTTGCTCTTGCACAGGACCCAGATTCTGTTCCCAGCACCCACATGGCACCTAAGAACCATCTCAGGGATCCAAAGCCCTCTTCTGACCTCCTTGGGCATTTGCATGCATGCATGCAATGCAATATACTCATACAAATAAAATAAAAGTTAAAACTAAAAAAAAAAAAAGAATTTGGGATCTTTTTTCTGGGTTTTGTTTTGTTTTTTTATAAAACAGTCCTCAGTACCACAGGCTAACCCTGAACTCACTCTGTAGCTTAGGTTGCAATTGAATCCCTTATCCTTTTGTCCTTTTGATTCTTCCTCCCTATCCTCCCTAGTGCTGGGATTATAGGTATGTGCATCAGCTAGTTTTTTACTTTTTTAAAGACAGGGTCTCCCTGTAGCCCCAGCTGACCTGGAACTCATTATGTAGACCAGGCTGAACTCAATCTCCTCCTGCCTTTGCCGATTGTGAGAACTTCAGGAGTTTGCAGACAGCCTCAAAAACATGGAGAAACCACTTATTAAACACACACACACAAAGGGCATGGTGGCATACGCCTTTAATCTCAGCACTTGGGAGGCAAAGGCAGGCAAACCTGGTATACAAAGCAAG